TCCCTTAATTGCATTTAACCAGTAAAATCCAGTAAGTGCTGAAAATATCTGATTAACCTGTCTGTATCTAGCAGCTGTTACACCCAAGTAATATGATCACATCCAGGGCCAGATTATGACATGCTGGGACCCTAAACTATGTCAAACATAAGAGGCCCCATAGCATTACCAAAAAAATCGGGTGTTCCCCCCTGCCAGCCCAGAAGTGGCAGGGGAAGCTTGCACGTGGCTGCTGCCACCTCCATTGAGCACCCAGTGCCACTGTTCTGTGTGCAGCTGGTGCTCTAGCACCAGCTGCCGCTACCCTCCACCCCTCCCTAGCACTTTCACATTTCTGGCACGTGCTTGGTCCCGAGCATGCCAGATTTGTGAGGTTTTACTGTATTTTTTTCATATTTAGAAGCCCCTCATAATGTGAGGCCCAAAGTTGTAGCTTACTTAGCTTGTGCCTAAATCCAACACTGATCACAGCTCTCTTTATCCAAAGATGTCTGTGTTTTGCATCACCCTTCTATCCAAAATATAATCCTAGTTACATTTTAATTAACTTAGTTAATTCATTGTGGGACTCTTTTTTAAGTGGATTAAATTGTCCATACATCAAAATTTTGCACATGAGCTGAGTATAATTGAAAAGCACATGTGTACTGCTTGTTAAAGTAGGGAGGCAAGTGGTTACATCTTTACAGAAGAAAGTTGACAGTTCAGAGTAGAAAATGTAGTCTGCAGAAGTCACACTTTGCTACCAGATGCTTTTTTTGACAGTGACTTCTGCCGTTACACAAATGGGTGAGTTAGAGCAGCAAGAAAACTGGAATATATGTAGTATTCTCTTTGTGTATGCCTCGTTCTCTCTTATTTCAGTTACTGATAGAAAACATGTAGGCCATCCTTTCCTTTGAGGGTCTGATCCAAAACACACTGAAGTCATTCAGTCTGCATATTGAATTCAGTGAGTGGACTTTGGATTAAGGTTTTATTTAAACCGTGACCTTTTATTTAAATTATGACCTCATCCCTTTGCTTTTACAGCAGGAAAAAGAATGACCTGGCTGTCGTTTAATTTCTGTCGTTGTTTAATTTCTGTCTGTTGTTTAAAATCCTTGCTCATTAGAATATCCTTCTAAATAAGATTTTTTTTATTTATGCCTTTTTAGTGAACTGTCTTCCATGACATCTGTTGAGAATGAATGTTGCAATTTCTTTTATTTTGGGTTTATTTTTAAATGTTGCCGTAGCTACAGCTAGCTGAAACTTTCTGAATTGCACATTTTAGCAAATTTAATTTTTTACCACCTCTTCCTGTGACACCTTTGCATCAGCTGTAGTGGGTAGCATATGAAAATGATCCTTACCACTGCATCTTGAAACCACTGTGCTGCATGCATTTCATTTTAAACTTCAACCTTAGCTGTAGAGGAGGCCTAAGTAAAACAATATTGTAATGTTTCAATGCCAGAACTTCTTGGGTATTATTTTGATTGATCTTAAAGGCTGTTTTTGTCTCTTCTTACCTCAGTTACTGGAATGTGGTGGAAATCTCTTTGATGCAATCTCTGTTGCAGTGAAGGCAGCTCTTTTCAATACAAGGTAAGGCCCAGATCTTGAGTTCTTGGGGCAAGGTAAATATCTCATTGGAGATGAGACCTTTTTCATTTAATCTTCAGACATTAATGGAAGGGAATAATCTCTTGGGCAACTTTTATTCAGATACAGTGCAGTTCATTGACAGGCAAGTGAAAGAAACCTGTGATTTCAGTCTAATTTGTAGTGAGCAGGTGTTATACTTTATGGTGAAGGCACTTTCTGTCAAAGCTTAGAGATGGAGCATGGCAATTTTTGTGTTATCTGTTCACTCCCTTACAAAGAGAGACATGTCCAGAAAAAGTTTCATCTGATTGTTTGCCTGATGAGACTTCATAGCCTGATTTTTTTCAGAAGTGCTGAAAACTGATGGAAACTGGAAGTGTTCACCCCTGGAAATTTAAGTCTCTCCATATATGGACCTATCCACCTGCGACTACTTCTAAACTTAGTCTTTTTTTTTCTTTTTTAAGCAAAAGTATTTTACTTTTTTGTTAACACATGCAAACCATGGTTTGTATTTCTTTATAAAATTACTTGGAGAAACAGCTGTTGGGACAAATAGAGCACGGCAAATTGTTGTTCACGTGCCATGCCGTCCTAGCAAGACTGTCAGTTTTGCATTGCTGACTCAGGCTGCACGTGGAAGGGATCTTCATGGGAGGCAGAGTTGGAGCAGAAGGGTACCACTTCTTGATCTGTTTGCAAGAGGCTGCCAACTCCCATGTTGATGGTATACATTTAGCTATGCAGACCTGTGCTTAGTTGTAGGTTAGCTAGTACAATAATGATTCAGTTCTGTGAGCAGGCAGGGGAAGAACCGCCTTAGAAATCTAAACCTAACACTTCTAGTTTGCTTGTCAGCAGTCCTTTCTTCTGGGTGATCTCCACAGCAGAATGAAACTTCAGGAAGAGTTCTCCAAAAACTGAAGCTTGTGTTGCAGGCACAGGGGGACTAAAGCCAATTTCAAAATGCCCTACAGCAGTGTATTGTAGCTCTACTGAAATCAGTGGAGTTAATTTTGAGATCAGCTTGCTGCCATACTGATAGAAAACAACATAGAAGAAAATGTGTGGCATTGAAGATGCACACTGTACCAGGTTATTAAAAAGCTTGTTCACACGTAAGCAAAAAGAGATTGAGATAGAGATTATAACTCCTGTGATTTTAATCATCTCCTCAGTGGCCCTTTTTTAATGGGCAGAGCATTTCATAATGTGGAATAGATTAAAGATTTGTTCTTGCACTTTGGGCAGTTGCCACAGATGTGAGAATTCTCCAAAGGGAAAATATACGGCAGAAATTGTTATGAGAGAGCTGCCTGATACAAGGGTATGCGCTCTGGTACATGATTCTATGCTTTATTTATAGTCTGCCCAGACTTTTTCCTATTTTAACTGAATAACTTAGAGGGAAGTATGAAAACAAAACAAAAACAACATTACTTAAAAAAAAAAAAAAAAAAAAAAAAAA